CAAAAGAATTCACAGAAATTCACAACTCACAAAAAAAGTCAAAATTATGCTTATTTTTTAGTTTCTTTGTCTTTATTAATTCACTATCCGGTCTTGAAGTGATGACGTGATGAATCCTGCTTCCAGGTCCAAACTCTACTCTGCGTTTATTAAGGCTGTTGTGTTGTTAACATGTTTTAATGCTTTGTACCTTGGTCTATTTAATCTGAACAAGTCCCTAAAAAAGGCAGTGATCACTGTCGGCATCTCTCGGTTTTTATTACAACACTTTAAAGCTCAGTTTTTAAAACCTTACGATCTAACTACAGCCCAGCCCATGCATAAATAAAAAAAATTATAGCCTGGTATTGTGGATGGATTATCTCAGTTGATCTCCTGACTGAAGTCTGGTCCGTTTACAGCATCCTGCCATACAACTGCATTTGTACCTACCACTGGGAACCCTCATGTTAACTTTTATCAAGTGGGAAAAAGTTAGCGTTCATCCTCCAGCTTCACTGTGCAATGTGTTTATATTATGCTAACCATAGCTGTGTAGCTAGCCACCACGTAGCACATCATTATATACAAGCTAGCCCAACTTTAGTAACCCTACAAACGTCACTGCTGTTTAGTTTCAAGTCTTCATTTATGTCAGAAGTGACATCAGAGCTGTACGTTTTAATTTTTTCAGAAATCTCTCGGTCAGAACATGCTATATTATGTTTAGGTGGAAACTAGCGAGCTAACTCCCTGCTAACTCCGTTAAATTTCATTGTTTCTCATGGATGTTTGGATTTTAAACTTAATTGTTACACCTGGTGGAGTATGGGCAGAAATCTGTGCCATCAGAAACTGAAATTGAATAAGTTTAATTTGAATTTGAACAGCACATTGACACCAATCATAAATTAATTAGGTTTGTTTTGGCATAGAAAATTAAATGACTAACATAATTCTGAATAATTTTATCCATCAGATGCTTTATGCTTTGCTTGTCTTTTTTTCACCAGATACAACATAGTGATATTTGGCGGCATAGATGGCTACTCTAGGAAGGTAAGTTGCGTACCCAAATACAGCACATATTATTAAATCCACAAAGACTTTCTCACATCTTGTTATCTTTTCTCTCTCCGCTTATGTAATTATACAGCTCACATATTTTGATCATATTGTGTATTATGACAGTTTGCACACTCTTGTCACATGTCCTCCTATAAACATTTTGTATATATGTATGAATTTTTAATGTGGTGGTGTTAATCAATTTTCCCCCGGTTTAGATTATGTACCTTAATGCTGCATGTAACAACACAGCCAGCACTGCACTTGATTTTTTTCTGGACGGAGTTAGAAGATTTGGATGGCCTTACAAGTGAGTAATTCTTCGTTAAATTTATTCTGGAGTTTGTCTCATGATTTGTGTTTGCCATGTTTAACCATGAAATGATCAGGATTTCAGTGCTGTATATAAATTTGCAAGTGTGTCAATCATGTATTTGAATAATTTTTTAGTGTATTTTGTTGTTTCAATACTTATTTTTAAAATCTTATATGGTACAGAGTGAGAGCTGACCAAGGAGTTGAAAATGTCAAGATTGCTGAAATGATGTTCACTGTGAGAGGCACAGGATGTGGAAGCTTCATAAGTGGAAAAAGCGTGCACAACCAGAGGTAATGCTTGTAAGATCTTAAATGGCATAACATTGTTATTTCATCATGATTGACTCCAGCTGAATTGCTGTTTGGCTGTCCTTTGTTAGTTTTTGATTGACCTTTCAGACCTTTTCTGTATTTTTTTTCAAATGTAGAATTGAGCGCCTATGGAGGGACGTTTGGACAGGGGTGACACACATTTATTATGATGTACTACACAGCTTGGAGGAAGATGGATTTCTTAACATCTCAGATAGTCTTCATCTCTTCTGTGCCCATTACACCTTCCTCCCAAGACTCAAGGGGGATTTGGCCAAGTTTTCTGCTGGCTGGAATGATCATTCCATCAGGACAGAGCTGTCATGGTCCTGCGACCATGACTCGGTGACTTTGTGTTTGTGTTCTTTATTGTTATTACTTTCATTATTATTCATGGCTGTTTTGGGATGGTTTGTGTTTTGGGATTTTAGATACTGGGTTTTGGGTTTGTGCTCCCTCTATTGGTCCCTGGTGTCAGTGTTCTCCTGTCTCGTCAGGTTAACCAGGTCCAGCTGTGTCTCCCACCTGTGTGTGATTTCCCAGTGTCTCTCTGTGTACTTATAGTGTGTGTTTTCCTCTGCTCCTCGTCGCGTCGTCTGTGTTCATACCTGGTGTAATCCTCTGCGTGCTCTCCCTGCTGTTCTCCCTTCATGTTCAGGTTTGCCACTCCTCTGTGTAGTTTGTCCCAGTTTAGTTCATCCTTAGTTCTGTTTGCCATCTCCACTTTGTGTTGGATATTATCAATAAATCACCCTCACACCTGAATAAGTGCTGCGTTTTGGGTCCTCCTTCCACTCTCCACACGGCCGCTGCCCCGGACCGTGACAGTACGACGCGACCACAACATGGACCCAGCAGCGCTTAACCCATCCAAGGAGCTACGGGAGAATCTAATCGATGCCACACAGGAGCTTATTGACCTGTGGCTGGAAGACCCGGGTGGCACGTCCCAGCGCGCTATAGAGAGGCGGCTACAGCGTCTGGTGACCGGTCTCCCATGGCTTCTGGCTGGCTCGCTCTGTTCGTGGGAGCAGGAGTTTCTCCTTTTGGACCTTGGACTTCACCCTCCGTCTGCATTCCCTTTCGAGCAGCCCGATGCGGTGAGTGAGCGGGACGCTTTGGTTTCCCCAGTTTCCGGGACTTTGTTTTCTGGGGCTATTCAGAGCGGGATGGGAGACTGTATGGATCGCTTACCCACCTTCGTGGTGACTGATCCTTCCCAAGTGGGCGTTTACAGACCCTCTGCAAGACTAACAGACTGTGTCTCTGCCACCCCTTCTGAGCCAGGACTTTATCGCCATTCTCCGGCTCAGTTCAGTGCTCGGCCACAAGCTCCCCAGTCAGTAGCTCAGCCGTTAGCCTCCCTGGGGGCGCAATCGCCTGTTCTGCCGCCGCTCCAGTTAGCCACTCAGCCACCACCATCACCGCTAGCATCGCTACAACCCACGGTTCCGGTAATAGCTGAATCACAGTTTTCACACTGTTTTTCCACCGCTGTTTCTAGGCAGGGAGATGAACTGTTACATTACGGACCTGTTCCTCAACAGCTGGCAACACTAGTGACTGTTACTCACTCCGGGGCTTCCCCAGAGGCGGGGTTACTACCCTCAGTACTGGCCCGGCCCGGCGTCATCCTCGCCCGGCCCGGCGTCATCCACGCCCGGCCCGGCGTCATCCACGCCCGGTCCGGCTTCAGCCTCGCCTGATTCTGGTCCGGCTTCATCCTCGCCTGATTCTGGTCCGGCTTCATCCTCACCTGGCCCAGCTTCAGCTATAGCTTCGTCCTCGCCCGGCCCGGCTTCTGCTTCAGCATCGCCTGGTCCAGCCTTCGTGTCTGCATCCTCATCTGGTCCAGCCTTCGTGTCTGCATCTTCGTCTGGTCCAGCCTTCGTGTCTGCATCTTCGCCTGCAGCGGTCTTCAGCATCCGCACCATCGCGCGTATCGCACATGCAGTACGATCGCCTGCGATCCGCACCATCGCCTGCAGCAGCGTCTTCAGCATCCGCACCATCGCCTGCAGCAGCGTCTTCAGCATCTTCGCCCGCTGCGGCCCCGGCTTCCGTGCCTTCAGCCTCGCCTGGCCCAGCCTCGTTTGGGTCTGGACCTAAACGGCCGTTTTCTAGACCGCTGGCTAGGCTACTGGCCGGGCGCCGTCGCCTGACTGGCCGCCGTTGCCTTCCGCACGGCCGGCCCCCGGACCGCCTCGCCTGAGCGGCCGCCGTTGCCTTCCGCACGGCCGGCCCCCGGACCCTCTTCGCCTGAGCTGGCCGCCGTTGCCTTCCGCACGGCCGGCCTCCTGAACCTTTTGTGCGCCTCCACGGCCTTCTTCGTGGCCGGCCTCCTGAACTGTCCCATCCTGGCCTCCTGTGTTATCGGGCCCCTGGCCGGCCGCCTGAACTGTGTTTTGGACTCTGCTCCCCTGTGAGTTTTTTTTTGTGAACATTTGTTTGGGACTCTGGGGCCTTCGTTTTGGTCGTGGCCCGGTCCCTCCGTCCTGGGCCCCCTGCCGCCCGCCCGGGTCTGGTGGTGTGTTCTGTGGCTGTCAGGGGCCAGCCCTTGAGGGGGGGGTACTGTCATGGTCCTGCGGCCATGACTGGTGACTTTGTGTTTGTGTTCTTTATTGTTATTACTTTCATTATTATTCATGGCTGTTTTGGGATGGTTTGTGTTTTGGGATTTTAGATACTGGGTTTTGGGTTTGTGCTCCCTCTATTGGTCCCTGGTGTCAGTGTTCTCCTGTCTCGTCAGGTTAACCAGGTCCAGCTGTGTCTCCCACCTGTGTGTGATTTCCCAGTGTCTCTCTGTGTACTTATAGTGTGTGTTTTCCTCTGCTCCTCGTCGCGTCGTCTGTGTTCATACCTGGTGTAATCCTCTGCGTGCTCTCCCTGCTGTTCTCCCTTCATGTTCAGGTTTGCCACTCCTCTGTGTAGTTTGTCCCAGTTTAGTTCATCCTTAGTTCTGTTTGCCATCTCCACTTTGTGTTGGATATTATCAATAAATCACCCTCACACCTGAATAAGTGCTGCGTTTTGGGTCCTCCTTCCACTCTCCACACGGCCGCTGCCCCGGACCGTGACAGAGCATAGCCTTTCACCAAACCAGCTGTGGGAACTTGGGATGCTGCAGCACCCCATCAGAGAGCCACAGAGATATGAAGAAAATTTGGCAGTTGAGTAATAATGGCAATGTTTTGGTTTTATTGAGTGCTATATGTAGATTTTTAAAATCATTTACATATGCTGCTTTATTTCAGGAAATCCAAATTGAGAGCATTGATTGGGAGAGTGCAGGGCTATCCCATCATAACAACCCAGGTGTTTTGGTGCCAGAAATGGAATGTCCACTGAATGCTGAAGATATTGAATCTCTACGCCTTTCCATAGATCCTCTTGTGCCTTCATGTAGTTTTGGAAGAGACATTTACCTGACCACACTCTCACATGCTCTTCACCTACATCACCATCCATGAAAGTTGCAGCTTGGCCCATCAGAGTAAAATTATAAGAACATGTTATTTTACAAACTGCTAGTGATAGTTTTTCTTTTAAATAATCCCTTTTTCTAAGAAGAATAAGAACCTCTCCTTGTTTTAATGGTAATTTTCTTTTTCTTACTTTCTGTTACACTCATGAACCCAAATAGATACTCACAAGCTGACACAGTCAAATGGAGGAGGGAATGAGATCAGCAAGGACTATATTGACAAAAACTTTTTTTTTTATAATAATTTCAATGGCAATAAACAGAATGCTTAAACTGTAAAACAATAATTAAAAAAAACATCAAGCAACACATGTCGATTTCTTTGTTTTACTAACATTTCATGGAACAATCAAGATGTCTGGCTGGCTGATTATGCTCCTAAATATGAAGAAATGCCTGACCATAGTGGAACGCGTTTGTCATCACATGCTTGAACTCTTCATAAGTTTGCATATGCTGAACAGGTAGCTTGACTGTATTACTACATGCTGTAACGGTTGGGTAGCAAACTTCATGAGCGCCATACTGAATATGGCATGAGTGGTTGAACTGCACAGAGACTTTGAAGTTCATCTTCTCATCTGGCAGGACAGGAATGTGGCCTTGTCCTGTGAGCCACTGCAAGAATGAACTTGGGGAAAGGATGACTGGACGGTCACTGGTCTCAGGCTCTTCACCTTTTTTTAAAAAAGACAAAGCAGTCATTTAGATAAAATATTAGATACTGTTTACCTGTAACTTCACAAACACAACTTAAAAACTTAATTACTGACAAAGAGTGAACAAGCACTCATAGTGTAATCTACAGCTGTGGCCAAAGGTTTACAGAATAAGAATTGTTTTCACACATTTTGCTGCTTTTGTTTTTTAATATCTTTTTGTAAAACGTTTTCTGAAGTGTACTCCAGAAACGTCGGACAAAAAGATCCAAAAACACTAAAGCAGTAAACTCCATGAAAACCAAGACTGGCCGTTCTCTAAAAGTTTAGCCATTCCTTACATAAAATCATGATTCCAAGTTTAACACAGAAAGACAAAATACATTGACAGTAAACTACATGTGCACTTACGTGATTCCAGCGCTTGCAAGAAGTCCTGTAGATGGTTCATAATCCTCATTTCCACCTGTTCTTTGTTGGAGCCCTTCTCGCTGAACTCAGGATGGCATGTTGCAAAAACAAAGTCAGCATCAGCCTGGTAAGAAAGACAAAGAAAATTGTGACTTTATCTGAATCAAGACTTAATTGTAATTGAGATCAAGGACCTATTATTTTGTCTTTATTCTAAGTAATTGTATTCTTTTGTCACACATAAAGACAGGGACTTAAACGTCTGTCTCATGCTGCTTGCTAGTTCTTCTCATTTAATCTTATAACTTTGTATAGTCAAGTCTCTTTATAACTCTGTAGGTTACATGTAAATACTCCTTGTTAAAAGGGATTTTTTCATTGCTCCTGATGCCTTGTGTTTGCTCTAAACGGTTCAGGAATATTAAGCAACTTAAGACAATTTTGAATATTCTTTTTCCAGTGCCACCATTAATTACATTTTCTACTATAGGACTTAAAGTATATACTGTAAAGTAAAGATAAAGAGCACTTTGAACTGCTATTCACAATTACAAGTGTTATCCCTACTAAAGTCAACATTTACTCACCTTAACTTCCACCCCTGGGACAAACAGCGATTGGCACATGTTTTGGTACTGCTTCAGTAGATCAGTAAGACCATAAAGGTTGAGCCCATCACGTAGCTGGGAGAGGAGAGGCACCAACCGAAGTGTGGCGTGAAGAACAACAGCACTGAAATGCAGAAAGGAAGAAAAAGTCGCATGCTGCTAAATGAAAAAAAAAAAAAAACTTTTTTTGGGGGGGAAAACAGTAAAACAGTTTTACCGAACAATTTCTTCTTTCTTTTCGACATTAACAGGTCCATGATAGCCACAACTCAAAATTTCATCAGTGAGTTCTGTCATTTTATCTTCTGTTGCCGAATCAACCTTAAAGGACACAAACATACACATTAACATGACCAATTCCAGAGTCCTATAATTTGCAAATAACATAAGGGATGGTAAAATCTGTGCTAAACATGTAATTCAAAACACTGTAGAGCAGTGAAACCTTTAAGACTTCATACCTGGGAGATAACAGAAGTAATGATCATCACAGACATCCTCTTTCCTAATGTTCTCAATCTGCAGCTCTCCACTACACAAGTACTGGTAACACCAGTCTTTGAGGCAGCAGGGTGGTGGCCCACCTTGCGCCAGACTAACTGCCCAAATTTCACCAGCACTACTGTGAGAGGAGAAGAGATAAATAACATCAATCAGGTAATTTCCAATGCGTGTGTGTGTACACACAACTACGGACCCCAATGCATGTGAGAAAGGCCTACCGGAAGTTTCCTAGATCGAGATCCAGCAATGAATATTTGGGAGCCTTCCCAGTCTGGTCACCCTCAAATAGCCGTTGCTCCAAGCCTGCAACCATTTCTTTTAACACAAATAGTTAGTCCGGTTAAGTAGCCATTTTCACTCCTATCAATTTAGATCACATTTTAAATACGAGTACCTGTGAGGAATTCTTTCCGTAATGCCCCTGTATCAATTCCTGCCTCTCCGATGAATGTGACCCTCAGCTGATTTGTAGGCAATGCCTTTTTTTGCCTCTTCCACTGTGCAAGTCCCCGCTCCACCATATTGGATCTTGAGACAGTGATACGGAATTCTTCCTCTGTATTCACAGCAGTACTTATGGCCTGCAGGATTTCATCCAGGCTAATGGAGAAAAACTCGCAATTACAAACATGATACTGGAAACCATGTTGTGTGTATTCATGTGTATTCGTTAATGTCTTTTAGGTTTTCAAACTGAATTGTGTCACCACTAGCAGTATGTGACTTTGACCTAACAGAAGAAGAAAATGCAGTGGACAGGCTAAGCCTTTAGGTAGCTGGATTCCTTTACACAAAGGGTACTTGGCAGAAATTGTTTGAAAACCACTGTACAGAGCATTGAAGAAAGACTACTGATGTGTACAAACCTAGAAATGCCCATCCTTTGTTGTGAAGGTAGGTTTGCATTGCTGTAATGAAAAAATGCCAGAGTAAAAACAACATCACTTGACCTCAAACATGTACTGTACAAAAGCAACAAATAAAACAATACCTTTACAACTTAAAAACTTAAAAGAGAACTTCTTCAACCGTGTTGTAATAACTTCTGTAAGACTTAAACAATTAAAAATGTTATGGCAAGAATGACAAAACCTAATGCAAAAAAAAAAAATTTATAAGGATCAAAACCAAAGTATAACATACATGGCACAATCACTAACAAAGCATAAAATGCTGTCTATCAAAATATAAATTAATAGGTGGAAAGCAAAAGGCTTGTAGGGAAATTCTCAAACATACGTTGGAAGCCATATTAAAAGACTGCATTACCTCTCACAACACTGCTTGCATGTGCCTCCACCTCATTCTGAGGAAATGTCTCACCGCAGACAGGGCACACAATCTGTAACAGGAAACAATATCAACGATAGAATCAATAATGCCTCAAAGACAGACATTAAACACGTTGCACTCAACATTACCTTTGCAGTTGAGGACAAAATAATGACATCTTCCTCCACATCCTGTCAAGACAAGCAAAGAAAGGGGAAAAAACCAGCAACTTTAAAAGAATGGAATTGTGATGTGATTCCATACATCTGATTGTTGCTTATCTGTCAACTTTCATTACAAATACAGCTTACATGGGCTACCCACTTTAAATATAAGGAATAAATCCAACCTCTAATAATGAACCTCTTCAACTTGGCTATTGTAGGACACTTTAATCAAACTCAACTTTCTCCCCATTCAATGTAAGGCATCATATTTATGTTCCTGTCTTTGTCATGCACAGTCAAATAGATAAAGGTTAAAGGGGTACAAAACTTCACCTTTAGATGTGAGTTAAGTTGATCGTCTTCTGTATGTGGTATGGGATGTGGTGCGTCCTCTATGTCTTCATTACAAGTCTGATAAAGGAGAATAGCAAGTACAAACTTAATAAATTACCTACAGAAACACAAGCAAGTGTAGTGACATCCACAACATTGAACATGAAGCTCCTGACTGATAAAAACATTTTCAAAACACGTTTCAGTCATTACGTAGTTTTATAGGACAAAGCTACGTGTAATGTGATCTCCCAGACTCATCCATGCAACGGGACTGTCTTCATTAGTATCTGAAGGCTGACATGTTTCAACATGCAGTGCTAAGAGTTGAAGTGGGTAGCTGGTTTGACATGAGTGGCACATCGCTTTTGGCATATTGGAGAAGGAGCTAGAGTCAGGAGGCAGCGGCTGAGTGTCTAGCTCTTCCTGGATTGGAGCAATGTAAAGGACGGTCTTTCCCCCAGCACTTGCATTTTTTAGCAGTGACCCAGTATATCCACTGTCCTCAGGAGGCACCATATTTAGTTTCCGAGAACCCCATCCACCTGTCGAGAAAAGTGAGTGACTCAGTACTATTCAAAATGTGGCAGTACACATTGCAGTGCATTCATGGTCATGATATCATCAAAATTCTTCTATAACTATCAATTCAAAAGTTGGAATGGCCATTAAGAGGTTTTTTCTACCTGCTCCTTTGTAAATCAGCCAGCCCCCAGAAACACTTTCCAGTTTTGGATACAGATCTTTGAGTCTTGAACATACCTTTGAAATAAACCATCGGCCACCAAATTAATTGACTCTGAATAAAGAAAAACACTTGTTGATCGTTAACTTACAACAAATATATTTTCCTGTCAATGTGGAGCAGTACCTTACCTCATCATGACTGTAGCTGTCAGGTATCAAATCAAATCAAATCACTTTTATTGTCACATCACATGTGCAGGCACACTGGCACAGCACATGCGAGTGAAATTCTTGTGTGCGAGCCCCACAAGCAACAGAGATGTGCAAAACACAACAACACAAACGAGCAAAATACAAGAATGGCCAACCTGAAACTAATAAATATATGTACAATATATAATAGTGTATGCATTTCTGGATGTGTATACTAAATATTTTCCTACGTGTGTGTGTGTGTGTGTGTGTGTGTATACACATTTTTACAAATTAAATAGTAAAAAAAAAAAATAATAATAATACAAATATAATAAAATATATAAAATATACAGAGTTGAAATGTGCAAAACAAGTGGCATTTATGTACAGTGTGGAGTGCATAATGTTGAAGTTCCAGTAGTGAAGCTGAGGTGTCTATGACGTGTTCAGCAGTCTGATGGCCTGGTGGAAGAAGCTGTCTCTCAGTCTGCTGGTACGGGACCGGATGCTGCAGAACCTCCTTCCTGATGGAAGTAGTCTGAACAGTTTATGGCTGGGGTGACTGGAGTCCTTGATGATCCTCCCCGCTTTCCTCAGGCACGCTTCCTGTAGATGTCTTGGAGGGAGGGAAGCTCACCTCCAATTATCCGTTCAGAGCACCGCACTACTCGCTGGAGAGCTTTGCAGTTGTAGGCGGTGCTGTTGCCATACCAGGTGGTGATGCATCCAGTGAGGATGCTCTCAATGGCACAGTGATAGAAGGTCCTGAGGATGCGGGGGCTCATGCCGAATCTTTTCAGTCTCCTGAGAAAGACAATTAATGTCGTAGATTGCCACTTGCGGTCCGCTAGTAAAACGAAGTTCGATTACTCTGCGCGCGATTACGCAAGAACCGGAACCGGATGTAAGTTCCAAAAAACTGAATTTTGGAACTGAAATTGAATTGTAGAACTGAAACTGAATGGTGAGAAGTGAAACTGAAATTATTCGAGAGCTGAATTTTTAAAGGATAAAATGCAGTTTCAAAGCAAATCAATTCATTTTCAAAATATAAAATTCAATTTCAATTTAGTGATGATCATTTTCAAACCATAAATTCAATTTCAAATTAGACTAATTCAAATTCAGTTTTCAAAAGCATTTATTCAAGTTACAATTCAGATTCAATCTGAGCAATTCAAATTCAAATTG